CTTTTGCCTTTCCTCTGCGCTGTCAGGTAGGAGGCCCGCTGTGCCTTCTGGGGAATGGTGGTGAGACTTGTCATCGTAGTTTGTTGTCGGTAGTACACCTCTCTCTTACGCTCAAAAAAGGACCTGCTTTTCTGAGCACAGTCCGGATGTTTCCTATTTCGATGTCTTCTCAGTTTAGCAGGCTTCATAGCATCGTTTGAAAGCACCTGCAAGCAGATGACACACTTCGGTCTCCCGTCCTTGTTTTCAATGAATCCGAATTCAATATAATTATCGTCATATTTTCTGACTTTTCCTGACGATTTTGATGGTTCTTCAAGTTCACTTGTAACGTTGGATGCTGGTCGTTTTACAAACTTGTCCATGATGACAGCTAGCTAGCTCGGGACGATACCAGGCTGCCCGCTGCTGTCACTGTGAGTCACTGTTGTTTCTACCAGGCACGCGTATGGCTCGCGACTAGGAGTACATGACGGAATTGTCTGAAACTATATATATATCTTCTTAAAATTTGGTGTATAAATATGCAAATTACTGGGACCAGATATGGGAAGGTTAAACAAACTTGGTTTAAGGTGCCATAAAAGACTGTGGATGCAAACAATTGACATATAAAATAAACATAACATCTTGAACAGTAGCCTATTGTGAATAATAATGAAGTTGAGATAATACTACACCTCACCTGCCGACAACCCTCCACATTCCCTCCCTCAGGGCCTACCATGAGAGTGTGTATCCAACTTCACTTAATAGATTAGATTGATGTTTCATGTTTAATTTACATATCAAACGGTAAAACAACACAAAGTTATTATTAATAGTGCAATGCAACCTTTTCAGCATTTGCAACAGAACGAAAAAAGAAAAACACAGTAAACTTAGTGTTAATAACAGACGACATGGATCAGTTATAGCAGACCCAACAAGGAAGTCTATCCAGTCTGGTCAGTTTGTTTAAAAAACAAAAACAATAAAATGGTAATTTATAGCACCTATATACCATGATGCATACAAATATTGTCAATAATCAAAGAATAAATCATAGTCCAAAGCATTTGTTCATTTCAACCCAAATGGCAATAATTTTCTGTATATGTAACTTTTTTCATGGGGCAAAGAGATGCTCAGGAACGTAACTCCCGTATTTATTATGGGGGAAATTGATCCACTTAACGTTGTTTCGCCTAATGTCGCGTTTTCAGGAACGTAACCCCGACGTTAAGCGAGGACTTACTGTATAGGAAAGATTCTGTTATATAAGATGGAATAGGAGGGTGTCGAGAGATATTATAGAAGAGGAAGAATGAAAAATTGACCAATAAATTCATTAGTGACCATGGGAGGAGAAAGGGAAATACAGTACAATATAGGGAAGTTTAAATTTTTAAATAAAACATGGTCAAGAGGCTCGTTTATCATGGCCACCTCTTTAGAGGAGTACTGCCCCTGGGAATGAGGCCTCACAGTTAAGTTGCTGTTTTATATCTTATGTGTTGTGATGAAAACATTGGAAGAAAGTTTCGTGGGTAACTTTGATTTGATATTTAATATTGATGAGTTTAACACTTACTGCTTACCAGTAAATATTATGAGCATGCTAAATTTAATTACGGTAATTAATCCTAACCTAGTAATAATTAGCTTGGAATAAAAATAATTTTTTTAGTGCCCACACAACTAGGAACATGATTTGCTCTTACACAATGCCCAAATTCTTGTTATATCTCAATTTATATGTGGCAATAGAGGGCGCTGATACAAAACCTTTAAGGAGTGCATTCTAGGGATTTATGGTCCAAAACAGCTTCCTTTCATAGTAATTCTCCAATGATCAGGTTTAGCTCTTTTGAAACTAAAGCCTCTCAGAGTACTGGTAATGCAAATCAAATTTTTAAAAAGTGAATGTCTTTATGCCCAAACAGAATCATTAAACCTCAAGCATGAATCCTCTATCCCTTCTGTCTTAAAATCTCCGTAGACCTAAGAATTTAAATTTTTCCTAGCAGGGCAAATGTAATAATTTAGGGACTAATTTTGTTGTTATATTTTGCACTCTTTTTGTATTTCTTTGAAATAAAGTAATAGGTATTCTCCCTTTAAATTATTTACTTCATTTGATAATGTAAGAAGATTAACCTAACAAGATAATGGTACTGTTAAAATAAATACTGGGTAATATAAAATAAGCAAGTAAAGTACATGTACGTATGTACAAAATTAAATATTTATATTTCTTTCTTAGTTACTGTTGATAAGGAAAAAGATCTAGGCATTGTGACTGACCAATCACTGAAGACCGTACAGCAAGTTGGAGCAGCAGTGAAAAAGTAAATTGAAATATAGGAATTATAAGTCATACTTTCAAATACAAAGCAAAGGAAATGCTCCTTCATCTTCCTGAGTCTCTTGTACATCCCCATCTGGATTACTGATTACAGGCATGTAAACCATACCTCCACTAAGACAACATCTCTAGAAAAGGTGCAACACAGGACAGATGGTTCAACACAGCACTGACCCACATTGTGTTCACAGAAGAGGGTATTAGAAATAAACTGTCCAGGCTAAAGGTCCATAAGAGTCCCGGACCTGACATTGTGCATCCTAGAGTGCTAAGAGAGTTGTGCAACGAGCTTGCAGACCCACTGAAGATCCTGTTTTGTAAATGCCTGGATGAACAAATGGTCCCCAGTGAATGGAAAGTGGCTTATGTGAGTCCTATCTTCAAGAAGGGCGATCGTCACTCCACGAACAACTATAGACCGGTGAGCCTGACCAGCATAATATGTAAAGTACTTGAGAGTATTATCAGAGATGCCGCAATGGAACATCTAATACGAAACAACCTTGTAAAAGATTGCCAACACGGTTTTATGCCGGGGCGCTCCTGCTTAACACAATTGCTCAAGGTATTGGATATTTGGACCCATATTCTGGAACGGGGTGGTAATATCGACAATATTTACCTAGATTTTGCCAAGGCTTTCGACAGTGTACCCCACGAAAGGCTGAAAATCAAACTGGAAGGGTACGAATTCGGGGAAATGTCCTAGCGTGGATAGAAGACTTTCTACATGACCGCAAGCAGTGTGTGGTTATTAATGGCACGAAATCGTCATCTGTACCTGTCACAAGTGGGGTACCACAGATCAGTATATTGGGCCCGCTGTTGTTTGTTTGTTTCATAAATGACATGCCTGACGTTGTACACTCCTCCATACAAATGTTTGCCGATGACGCCAAGTTATTTCGGGAAATTAAGAACCAAGCGGACTGTGAAGAGCTGCAGAAGGATCTCTGTGAGCTCCAAGAATGGTCGAAGAAATGGGTGCTGAGATTCAATGTCACGAAGTGTAAGAGGATGCACCTGGGGCGTACTAACGGTAAGGAGGCGTATCATATGTCCCAGCGGGATGAAGAAATTGCACTATTTGAGACTGAATGCGAGAAGGACCTAGGTGTGTATGTTGACAATGAGCTGAAGTTCTCGGGCCATTGCGAGAAGAAGGTAAATCAGGCAAATAAATTATTGGGTGTTATAAGAAGGTCGTTCAGAATCGAGACGGCCCGTCCCTCGTAACGATCTTCAAGAGTGAAGTGCTTCCCCATCTGGAGTACTCTCTGTCTGGTCCCCGAGATATGCTAGGGACTGTCAGTTGGTTGAAAATGTTCAAAGGAGGGCCACCAGACTGGTGCCTGCACTTCGGCACCTCAACTACCCTGAGAGATTCAAGCGTCTGTACTTGCCTAGCTTATATTACAGACGGGCAAGGGGTGACCTAATTGAGGTGTTTAAACATTCCAAGGGGCACTACTCAGTCGAGTGTCCTTACTTAGAGCTGGTGGACGCTCGCCCCACAAGGGGTCACAGCTCAAGATTGAAGAAGCAGCAAGTCCAGAAAACTGTGAGGGCAAACTTTTTCGGAGTGAGAGTTGTGAACTCTTGGAACAATCTACCAAAAAGTGTTGTGACTGCACCGAGTGTGAGCTCTTTCAAGACCAGACTTGACCAACACTGGAGCAGGTTCAGGTACATTCAGGAGCCGGTGCATGCCCAGTACTTGCCAACAGTGCGTAACAGAGACGTGACCGATCGCCCAAGCGGCTAACGAGCCGATCAGTGGTGAAGAGGATAAAAACAAAGAAACAAAAAACAGACCAACTAAGATGATTCTTGAACTATTTATCATCTTGGTTATAAGTAGATAAGTAGACTGAGGGCCTTAGGAGTGAAAGCTCTTTAGATAAGACATGATAGGAAGATTTCATAGAGACAATCTAAATCTTGGAAAGGGATGAAAAATGTAAACTCAGGCCAGTTTTTCGTAATGTCATGCTCCGCCAGCATAAGAGGACACAACTTCAAGCTTGCCAAGGATGTCAGCACATCCTGTGGATACGAGAATAGTACTGGGCTTCAAAATAGCTTTACACGACTATTTAGAACAATGAAGGGATTCAATGCAGGCCACTGGCCTCCTTCCCTCAGTAAGGCCACCTCTGGTTGTTGTGGCCTTAAAGTAAATTAGGTAAGATAGGTATTATGTTCTGAGGATTGTTTAAATATTAAAGTGCATGTCGAGAGAAGATAAGAAAAATACCAAAAACTGAAAATACCAGGAGCAGAATGGCAAATCTTACTATTTTATGAAAGAAATTATTGTACTATAATTTGCTCCTGGCTTTTCTTGTAGGGGGAGATACTTTAACACCAAAGATGTTTTTTCCTTTGTAAGTGAAAGGTTTTGTCTCCAGTGTAAGCAAATTAAGATAATATTAAGAATTATAGGTGAATAAGGTTATTATACAAGTCTCTGTTGTATCCAACTCCCCTTCATAAGTGCGTGTATTTATTTTTGTTTTTAAGATGAAAGATCACTAAGTGGTACAGGTAAAGCCTTTTTATTTTATGACCGATCATCTAAAATTTAAATACCTGTACCTCTTTATAAAATATACTTTAACATGAAAGCTACATATGACTCCACATCCCACAGGACTATTTTGGGGAGTGTACTTGTGATACTAACTCCTCGCGGTCACTTACATTGATGCTGGCCCAAGCCCTGGACAACAAAACCAATCATAATGACTGGTCACTTCACTCTGACCCTGAATTCACTGTAAGGTAATTATGACAACAACATAGGTGCACAGTACTGTATTAAGATTTGGAAAAAAATGCTGTAGCCTCATTGATGATTGACATTATGCTATTTTTGAGTATGTGTTGTGTTATATATTTTGTAGTCTAAGACCTTATTCAATGGCCAGTAGGACCATTCTTTGTCGATTACTTCTTTCACATATCCTTATGTAACTTCTAATTTAATCCCTTTATCTTGCATCCAGAGTTTGAGTTCCACACCTATAAATACATGTAGCCGAACTATTCTAAGTTATGCATTGTAAGTAGGCTGATGTACCCAGTACAGGTACATGGTGTGGCATAAGTTGCTTTAGTGATGATTTCTGGGCGGAGTCAGCATTTGGACAATAAGGGACAACTCATACAAATTCTGTTAGACTTCAGGGACTGGTGGTTGTTGACAGAGGTTTTCAAATACAAAAATGACAATTATTTCAATACAGTCATCAGATTCTCTGATGGCTGTAATTCAATGAAATACAACTTCGGATTTGAATCGATCTCTTGTTAAGTCAGGGGAGGCAAGAACATGGATCACAGGCATTGTTTGGCAGTCAAAATATTGTACATTGTTTTGGTACAAATTTCACTACACTCATATGTAAAGCTTTCAATATATACTGTAATTACAGATTCTTGCATGCTTCAGCTAATGGTAGGCATATATTACTTACTGCTACTCATACATGTTACACCATAAATTTAAATTTACTACAGGAGTGCATTTCAGGCAAGAGAGAAAATGGATGGTTTCTCATACTAGAGAAAATAAGTCTCTACTTTTACTTTTATTCTTACCCTCCTCACCACTGATCGGCTCGTTAGCCGCTCGGGCGATCGGTCACGTCTCTGTTATACACTGTTGGCAAGTACTGGGCATGCACCGGCTCCTGAATATACCTGAAAGGGTTCCAGTGTTGGTCAAGTCTGGTCTTGAAAGAGCTCACACTCGGTGCCGTCACAACACTTTCTGGTAGATTGTTCCAAGAGTTCACAACCCTCACTCCAAAAAAGTTTGCCCTCACACTTTTCTGGACCTGCGGCTTCTTCAATCTTGAGCTGTGACCCCTTGTGGGGCGAGCGTCCGCCAGCTCCAAGTAAGGACACTCGACTGAGTAGTGCCCCTTGAGATGCTTATACACCTCAACTAGGTCCCCCCTTGCCCGTCTGTAGTATAAGCTAGGCAAGTTCAGGTGCTCCAATCTCTCAGGGTAGCTGAGGTGCCGAAGTGCAGGCACCAGTCTGGTGGCCCTCCTTTGAACATTTTCAACCAACTGACAGTCCCTAGCATATCTCGGGGACCAGATGGGGTGACAGTACTCCAGATGGGGAAGCACTTCACTCCTGAAGATCGTTACGAGGACGGACCGTTTAGATATCTGAACGACCTTCTTATAAGACCCAAAATTTATTTGCCTGATTTACCTTCTTCTCACAATGGCCCGAGAACTTCAGCTCATTGTCAACATACACACCTAGGTCCTTCTCACATTCAGTCTCAACTAGTGCAGTTTCTTCATCTCGTTGGGACATATGATACGCCCCCTTACCGTTGGTACGCCCCAGGTGCATCCTCTTACACTTCGTGACATTGAATCTCAGCAGCCATTTCTTCGACCATTCCTGGAGCTCACAGAGATCCTTCTGCAGCTCTTCACAGTCCGCTTGGTTCTTAATTTCCCGAAATAACTTGGCGTCATCGGCAAACATTTGTATGGAGGAGTGTACAACGTCAGGCATGTCATTTATGAAACAAACAAACAACAGCGGGCCCAATACACTGCCCTGTGGTACCCCACTTGTTACAGGTACAGATGACGATTTCGTGCCATTAATCACCACACACTGCTTGCGGTCATGTCGAAAGTCTTCTATCCACGCTAGGACATTTCCCCGAATTCCGTACCCTTCTAGTTTGATTTTCAGCCTTCCGTGGGGTACACTGTCGAAAGCCTTGGCAAAATCTACGTAAATATTGTCGATATTACCACCCCGTTCCAGAATATGGGTCCAAATATCTAATACATTGAGCATTGTGGCCCTCCTTTAAACATTTTCAGCCAACTGACAGTCCCTAGTATATCTCGGGGACCAGACGGGGTGACAGTGTAAGGGGGCTCGATTTTACTTCATATTTATTCTTTTTATTCTTCCGTACTTGTATACTTGCTTCATATATATATATATATATATATATATATATATATATATATATATATATATATATATATATATATATATATATATATATATATATATATATATATATATATATATATATATATATATATATCTTGTATTAATATTATTTTCTTAGTCTTTCTGTCTATAAGTAGCTATCTTATATCTCTTTGCTTATATTTTCTATTGATCTTATTTTGTGCATATATAAATAATATAATTTTCTAAGTTAATATTCTTTTCTATACTTAATTCATTCTGTCATATATGTTATTGTATTTTCTGAATTTTATATCAGCTCTTTCTCTCAATTTATTATCATGCTTTAGTTATATTCTATACCATGGATTAGTCTGGGAAAACCATGTCATTCTTACTATAACACTTATTATGCACATAACGGTAGCCTACCACCACCCAGACTTTTATAAGAATATATCATATCTCATTGGCCTGTTAGGGAGCGTGCTAGCGAGCTTCTAGGCACGTGAGATACAATAGTTATTTTCTGAGAACCAAATGTTAAAGGATAGCGCGTTGATACTCATAGGTTACTAATTCAATATTTAATAACATAAAGAGTGAACAAGATGTTAATTACGTACACTCAGACAAGACTGGATCACTTAGGTCTTACTTTACAAGTATCAAAATAGATCTTCAATTCTTGGTTACAACATTAAACAATTATTATATTATTTCATTGTCAATACAGATGGTTATATGACACACTTGACATTATCCCAAATTAAGATATTATTTAGCACATCATGTTATTTCGAAATGAACAACAAGGCACTTTAACTAGAACTCAGTTGGTAGTACATATGAATGATGTACTCACAACCCACATAACCAACGTTATTACTGGTAATACCAATATTCATGGGCTCAATACTCAACATGGGATAACTATATTTCTGCTAATTATTCCCAATCCTTGATACCATCACTGCTCGGTACACATAACCAAGATTAGTGAACCGGACAAGACTTAGTCCACTTGGCGCTGGGGTTGTTTACTACACAAACAGCCGAAGCTTGTTCGCTAGTAGCGCCCTGGGTAGACTCGATGCAGTGTCTTAGCACTGTGTTCCCTGGGTGCTCCTGTCCTCAGATTCTAATCTCGCCATGTTAAAGACATCCTTCTATAACCATCTTGCCCATAGTCGGCTATCGAACCTCGGTAGTGGTGACAACACAGACAGTGCCTGAGATATGACGGAACAGCGTCAGAGATGTGACAAAAATAACTCAATCACAAATAATCTTTCGTCTGGCAACGACACACGCTATTTATGTTATATTAATTCTTTCACTGGGTAAAGGATAATTTCACTGTTACAACATGAACACTGATATTCACAAAATTCACCTAGTTAAACTGACTTAATATGGCGGGCTTGAGAACATACACACCTGAGATATGATGGAACGTCAGAAATGTGATGCTGCTCCTCGTACACGAGTTTATATACGGCTAACTGGTAACTCGGGCCTGTGCCCTACACATGCCAAAAAGGTTAATCCCGCAATGACAGAAATTACATTCAACTCAGTTGCTGTACATTTAAATATGAAAATCAATGCCATGGGTCAGGTGAATTTCTTACCTCTATTTTTTCCCCCAGGTTGACAACCCTTTATCCGAAATTCCGAAAACCGAAAAGCTCTGAAAACCGAAAGTTTTTTGTGGAGATTTTTTTTTTTTTTTTTTTTATAAACAGGGATTAGCCCACCCGGGCATAGATCAATGACCCATATCGGGGCGTGGGGGGGCGAAAATGTAATAGCAATAATAATTATAATAATAATAATAATTATTCATACGTTAACTAACATGTACGACCAATCGACCATGGTCATTACAACAGTACTCCAGATGGGGAAACACTTCACTCTTGAAGATCGTTATGAGGGACGACCTTTTTATAAGACCCAATAACTTATTTGACTAGGGGGTAACTCACTAATTTCACACATGTTTTATGGACAACAGAGCATAATATACGTTTACTTTTATCCTCTTCGCCACTGATCGGCTCATTAGCCGCTTGGGCGGTCGGTCATGTCTCTGTTACACAATGTTGGCAGATACTGGGCATGCGAATAAGTGTGGGCATTAATAAACTAGATGTGCAACTCTGACTGTTACAATAGTACTGTATAGTAAATACATAAGCATGATAATATTTCTTATGTTCATGGTACTAAAGAGAGACTTCCTTCGGTGCTCCACAGGACAGATCTCTTACATTGGCTCTGGCAGACAAAATTCATTTCTGCTAAGAATGTTACTCATGTGAGTGACAAGATGCTTCATGCCTGTGGTGGATCAGGATACAAGGTGAGGCTTATTTGCTGATGGAGATACTTGTATTACAAGGGTTTTCTATGAGATTCTTGAATGGAAGACCTTTAATTTGTTTTCATATACAGTATACTTAAGTTTTCCTAGATTAATTAATTTGTTTTTCTGTTGTGACACTGGTTATACGGATAATCATTGAACAAAACCAGAATTACACTTGTTTTAAGTGCTTGGCACACAGACACAGGTTGTAGAGTAAAATATGTAAACATGATTAATGTGTCGAGAGATCGTGTCAGTGTGGGATCCTAGATGTACATTTTAGGGAATATAGTAAACACACAATCTAAGATATCTTTCACTAATAATTTTTAAGTCTTTTTTTTTAGTTTAGATTTATCTTCCTTTGTAACTCATCCAGACTCAAAAAGTATCATAAATTCTAACTTTTTAGGAAATAAAAAAGACTAAACAACAACAATCCTGGGTCCTCTGGTGCCATTGAGAAAAAATTGGTTCTGATCCCACAGAATATGGGGGGATGGAGTACCGAACCTTTTGTGGAGATAATGGAACCATACTGTAGTACTGAATAATAAAACATTAATTTTGTAGTGTATAGGATATTTACATTAGTCACAATTATTCTTATCCAAAAGTTTTTTCTTACAAATAACTTCACCTAGGCTTGGTAGATACTGTACAGGTTTTATTCCTAAAGGTACAGTATAGGTACTGTATATGCATAAGAATGCTGGTACTCTAGTCCTATTTAATATAGATATCACGAATGTGTCATAGAAGGCAGTTTTCACTATTTACAAATATGGTTACAGTATTTGATCACACACACACACACACACACACACACACACATATATATATATATATATATATATATATATATATATATATATATATATATATATATATATATATATATATATATATATATATATATATATATATATATATATATATATATATATATATATATATATATATATATATATATATATATATATATATATATATATATATATATATATATATATATATATATATATATATATATATATATATATATATATATATATATATATATATATATATATATATATATATATATATATATAGTGGAGATATAGAAATAGTGCTACCTTCTCATTCGCACACATGCATGCATATCTCCACTATAGGCAGCAGGGGACACCAAAAATGGAGGACAGGGCTTGTGATTCACCAGTTTATTCTCAACAATTCTCTCTCATATTTACCCTGCTACTATAGGTTGACTTAGGCCTAGAGCGCCTTTTGCGGGATGGCAAGGCTGGATGGGTGATGGGACCATCCAATGAGGTGCTACGACAATTTATGGGCAAATCTGTTTTACTCGGCATGGATTCTCTTGATTATTGGTAAGTAAATGCAGTATTTCTTGCATCATTTATTTTTTTTTCACTGATATTGTCATGCATCTTTACTACTGCAGATGAACTGCTTTTGTTAGCATAATTTCCATAATACTGTATTGTAGTAACAGGTTTGTTTCACAATCCTACATCTCCCTATAATAATTTATTACCTTGGGTCAGTATTTATCAACTGCTGGATATGACTCATTTACGAACCTTTTTCAAGAAACTTGCAGGAGGAGTGTGGTTATCTATGCTAGGCAAGACCTTACTTTTACTTTTATCCTCTTAACCAAAACATCGGCTCGTTAGTCGCTTGGGCGATCGGTCACGTCTCTGTTACGCACTGTTGGCAAGTACTGGGCATGTACCAGCTCCTGAATGTACCTGAACCCGCTCCAGTGTTGGTCAAGTCTTTTCTTGAAAGAGCTCACACTCGTTGCCGTCACAACACTTTCTGGTAGATTGTTCCAAGAGTTCACAACTCTCACTCCGAAAATGTTTGCCCTCACAGTTTTATGGACTTGCTGTTTCTTCAATCTTGAGCTGTGTCCCCTTGTGGTCGAGCGTCCGCCAACTCCAAGTAAGGACACTCGACTGAGTAGTGCCCCTTGAGATGCTTATACACCTCTATTAGGTCACCCCTTGCCCGTCTGTAATATAAGCTAGGCAAGTTCAGGCGCTCCAATCTCTCAGGGTAGCTGAGGTGCCGAAGGGCAGGCACCAGTCTGGTGGCCCTCCTTTGAACATTTTCAACCAACTGACAGTCCCAAGCATATCTCGGGGACCAGACGGGGTGACAGTACTCAGTACTGTTTGGTACATAGAACTGTGAGTAACACACCAGGGCCAGTCACTGGTGCTACACCAAGAAGTGGAGCGTGCTGTTAGGATCGGTTGCAGTCCGACACACTGCGAGGGAGTTCGTCCCGCGGGCTGAGTTCCCAGGGTGCGGGGCTCTCACAATTTAATTGTGCCGAATTAACGATAGCCAGCTGGTATGCAGCTTGCCAAGAAAAAGTGAAATGGACATAAAATACACACACTAACAACGCTACTTTACAGGCTCAGCAAAACTACACACAGGGGCCCTCTATGGGTATACGTTGAGATCTTGGAGATATAGAGTTTGACAGAATCTTTTCAGGAAATTAATTTCTTTCTTAAATAGACAACTGACAATAAACAAACTACAAACATCGGATTTTCTTAGGTTTGGGCATTAAAATAATCTAACTTCAGTCGCAAATGGGAACTCATGGCTATCCCCACTGGCGAGATTAGAACTTCATCATTCTTACTGGCAGACTCAACACTCACTTATTCGACAAGTTTTACAAACAATAAATACAGCTGAAGTTTTCAACCTCACTCACAAGGGATCTTGAATGTTTCATTTGTAATCAGACATATCTAATTTGACTTAACATATACAACTATACAGTGGCAATTTCAAATCTCGTGTCGTGCCATGAGAGACTAAGGAATAACAGTCTCGGATCGAGAGAAAACGGAGGACTCGGGCGTCCTGAAGCGATGAGAAAACGGACGCCTCAGACGGGGGACTCAATAAAGAAGGCATAGTTATATGTTTTATGGGCTATTGAGTATTATATGAATCGTCTGATTTTACGTTAACTAGACTAAATATGTTGGCCTTCAGATTTGTTGGAGAAATTTGCACTAAATTAGGCCATTGTCAGAATTGGAGGCATCTCTGTCAAATATTTCTTCAGATACCTTGTTTACAAAAACCTTCAATAAATGACCACATGACTGTGTAAAGTTGCCCAAGAACATTTATATTATATTTAAACTCATGAAAGGTTGACTAGATGAACCTTAAGTTGGTTTTGAAGAGACTAAGTCAAGGTTTTCATGAATAACTGGTAGTTACAAGTAGCAATTAAGGGACAAATGGCATGGCTGATGGTAACTACTGTCAAGCTAGGTTTGAGCTTAGGGGAGAAATGTCAATCCTTTCTCTAGGGACCAGCATACCAACAACCGGATCATTCATAATGAACTAAAGAAGATGAACCTGGAGGAGAAGAAGAAGTTGGCCAAGACTCTCATAGAAGATGTGGAATCAGAAGAGAAGGGGATTGAGTTCAAACACCCATTCCAAGAAACTGACTTTGAAAACCCTTTCAACACTTGCCCTCCTGCAGCTAATGGTAAGGTAAGAACTCCATAGTACCTTTCATCTTGCAGTTGATGAAATGAGAATTTCTTATGAAGTCTGTTTATGAAGGATTTAAAAAAAATGGAGTAAAGGAACTTTTAGAACAAACAAAGAAATAAGTCTGTGGTAGAGATGGGGCACTTTACTTCCCCATAATATACAAGTGATATCCCCGTTAGTAGGAACAATTGGTGCAGAGCACTTCCGAGAATGAGAGATTTCCGGGTAACGAGACAACTCTCTTAAAGCCGGAAAAAACTCTCTCATCCTCGGAATTTTCTGGGTAACGGAAAAATGGTCTCCGAAGTTCCAGAAATTGTCCATTACATCTCTCGAACCCAGAAAAATATCCCTCATACCCGGAATTTTCCGGGTTGTAGTATCGGGATTTTTTCTTAAATTTTCCGGATAATTCCGGCTTTGGGAACGATTTTCCAAGAAAATTTAAATTTTGGCTATCGGAGAGTTCCGGGTTTGAGGGATTCTGGCTATGGGAGATATTACTATATATATATATATATATATATATATATTGATAAAATCACACGGGAAAAGGGAAACAACGGAGCACCTTAGCTTTCGTCTTTATTGAAGACATCTTCAGAGGCAACTGGATTACATGGACAGAGAGAGGCTTAAATATACAGGGTGACCTTATTGAACATGAGGTCAGGTCATAATGATATCATCCACTAATCCCCACACCAACACCGACACACACGTAGAGGAGCTTAAGAGAAGGGGTGACGTGACTAGTCAGGTCAGGTAAAAAATAAGGGACCCACTAAATAACTATCATACATCTAGATCAAACGTTTTCAAAGCATTTTTAACCTTGGGCCACTGACAAATAAATTTATGTAATATATTATCAGTTTTGAACTGACCATCACTAAGGTTTATTGATTTTAATTCCTTAATTAAACTAGCTTCAACCAGAAGTCTTTCTGTGACACAAGATGATTTGAATACTTCTAAGCTGCAGTGTTTTTCTGTCTGTCCTACATAATTACAATAACATTTGCTACATGGAATACAATAAACACTTCCATTTACATTCAAACTTGGGCTATTTCTTATTAACATTTTGGTAATGGTTGAGTCATACTTGAAAACAACATTAATATTTAGTAGCTTGAGGGACCGAAGTAACGGGACAAATTCATTACGATAGGGCAGAGTCAAAATATTCTTAAGTGTAGGAATTTCCTGGTTTGAGAGGAATGAAAGGATTTTTTAGCCCTTTTAAAACAACGATCAACAAACACAGAAGGGTACCCAAGTTTTTGTGCAATGGAACGAATGTGTTTCAATTCATCGTCAATAAATTCAGAGACACAAATACGCAGACATCTTAAGAACATAGCAGAAAAAACTGACATTTTAGTAGACTCCAGGTGATTCGATAAAAAGTGTATGAAACTGTCTGGTCACTGTTTCTAGGCCAAAGACAAAGAACATCATCTACATATCTATACCATGGAGGAATAAAGTCCACTATATTGGATAGTAATGTAGACTCAAAAAACTCTTGTGATAGGGGCAGATTTTGGGTCACATCTGGAACATCTGGAAAGAGTTAAGAACTGCTGGGTTAAATAGGCTAATAAATTAATATATTTGGGTATTGCAGATTATCAAGACACAGGATGGTGTGTGTCATGCCCCAGCACTGAAGCCTGACAAATGGGTACCACTCGCCCTCAAGTCATACACAGATGTGAGTGACAAGATGGGAGCTTTTGTTTTCTCGCTGCCTAAGGATACTGACCACACAGGATGCTTTGCTGGACAGTATGTTGTGGTAAGTGATCCAACCAAATCACAAATGTAGGATAAATACCTGAGGAGTTGACTACAGTACTGAGTACCTGTACCATGTTGATTTTTTATAAAGGTGTTTGTATAATGTAAATTGAAAATTACTCTCAGGGGTCATTACAAAGTCATTCAGAGGGATTGAAATGTGACAGTTTACCCTCAAGTCTGTACTTTATTAATAAAGCACGGATTTGAGGGTACACTCACATTTTTAATAAATTTGTTTCTGATAATTTGTGAGAGAATTTTCCCAATGTTATTTATGTCTATGTGTGTGTGTGTCTACACACATAGACACATATTTACAATACATATAAAGGAAATTACTCTCTCTAGAACGAATATATACAGTCCCCCCAAAATTCGCAGATTTTTATTTTGCGGTCCTCGATTATTCGCATATTTTTATTTTGCAGTCCTCGATTATTCGCGGATACATATATATATATATATATATATATATAAAATCAACGACCTCACCAGCCAGGACTCGAACCCTTAACCTTATGCATGTGACCAGGGAACACTACCACCTTTGCCACAGGGACACTAAAAGCAATCCTAGACTTTGTTATATTTCACACAAAGCCTGTGAGCTGATGGCGCCGTGATTATATGTTGAAGTCCGCGTGCTATATGGACTAAAAGAAATATTTATGGTACCTCGTGTTTCATACCAGCTGGATTCGGTAAAATGCTACTTCCACCACATACGTGGCATGGGCAATCCCCATTGGAGGTTCACGGCACCATCAGCTCGATGAACAGGCTTTGTGTGAAATATAACAAAGTCTAGGGTTACTTTCAGTGTCCTTGTGGCAAAGGTGGTAGCGTTCCCTGGTCACACGCATAAGGTCGAGGGTTCGAGTCCTGGCTGGTGAGGTCGTTGATTATATGTTGAAGTTCGCGTGCTATATGGACTAAATGAAATATATATATATATATATATATATATATATATATATATATATATATATATATATATATATATATATTTATATTACAGTAAAGGAGAGTGAGATCAAGTCCCTTGGGACAGAAGGTGTCCACTATATTTAGGTCACTAAGTAGTTACCCAACCCTTTTACCAGGGTATAATTCTTCTTAATGACAAAATTATCCAATTTGTACATGCTCTCACTCAAATTCATGTTAACAGATTCAGTATGTTTAATGAGACTAGATTCTATAATCTTTTTATTGATAATTTAATTACAAGGTAAGATTGAGGAGGCATTAGCCCAGTCAATACAATACTACAGGTTGACAATCCTTTATCCGAAATCTTTGGGGCCAGAGGCATTTCGGTTTTCGGAATTTTTCGGTTTTCAGAATGGTTAGGGTTTTTTTTTACATGTGTATTAGCTCACCCGGGCATAGATCACTGACCCACATTAGGGCCTGGAGGGCGAAAATGTAATAAAAATTATAATAATAATAATAATTCATAGGTCTAGGTCGTGTTTCTCACTTTTGATCTTTTTCTCAATCTTGTATTTCTTTATTATTATTATTATCATTATTTTATTATTACAGTATTGTTATTAATATTGATTTTATTATTATATTTTATTATTATAATTATTATCATTATTATTTTATTTGGGTGTATTTTTATTAAAAAAAAATTTTACTATGAATATTTAATATTATTATAATTATTATTACTATTACATTTTCGCCCCCCAGGCCCTGATGTGGGTCAGTGATCTATGCCCGGGTAGGCTCATCCCTGTTAAAAAAAAGAAATTGGCCTCACAAAAAAAAATTCGGTTTTCAGAGCTTTTCGGTTTTCGGAATTTCGGATAAAGGGTTGTCAACCTGTAATTGGCTTCCTGTCCTGTCCTAACACTATATTTATGCTGTTTGAGTCTAGTTATAGGATCTTTGCCCGTTTGCCCTCAGTAGAACATACTACATTCTTTGCATGGAACTTTGTAAATGCAGCCACCTGCATTGCTGTGAGAATTCTTAATTAACATTTGCTTTATAGTGCATGAATTACTAAACGTTTCATTTATGTTCCAGGTTTTCAGTAGCAGAGGAATCTGAGAGAAATTTTCCTTAAATGGCAAAGCTAAGAGATTCTTATTGTCAGAAGGAGGTTTAGGATCATTTCTATAAAAGGATTTCTTAGCGATATTAAGATATTTGTCTATAAAAGATCTAGGGTACTTCAAGTTCAATCCAATACGTATTATAGATATATTCAAAATCCTCATCATTGAATTCTGAACAGCATATTTTCTTGTAGGTTAAAGTTATCATCAAGGGAAAGGAACAGCTGCGCTACTTCTCACCTGTGTCTTGTCCAAATGACTTTGGTTATATTGAATTGGTCCTGAGGTTTGAGACACAGGGTCTTATCTCCCAGCACTTCCAACTCCTTAAACCAGGTGAGAGATTTACACCATACTGACTAATTTCTTAGTTATGGTAATCATCATCGTTTACCATCAGTGTCAAAGGTTGTTTCTATTTATCTGCCTGCTTATGGATATTAAGGATAGCCATACCAGTAATCTTGGTATTGTAAAATATTATGTCTTACAAACAGGGCCGGCCTTAGGAGGTGCGGGGCCCAATTGGGAACAACTTTGGTAGGCCCCAGGTTCCCAGCCAAGGTCTGTAGAATCATAGAAATATAAATAAAGTCTATTATAGGCTTTATACCTCTATGGTATAATGCAGGGGTGGGCAATTATTTTTGATGGAGGGCCACTTCATGAATGGTGGCACACTTCGCGGGCCACAGGTTAACAGCGACAAGCCAGTATTGCTGCTATGTCCACCCAACTTCCAAAATTGTCCTTTCTGTAATTAATAAGAATTTTTTTTCTGATTGCCAAATGCAGTGGCGGGCCACAGAAATAATTTGGCGGGCCAAATGTGGCCCGCGGGCCTCACTTTGCCCACCCCTGGTATAATGGAAAATAATCAAAATGTGCGCTTAAAAAGTGCATGCGAGTTAATGGACCAAACAGATCTAAGCTACATTTTAATATAAAATTGCATACATGTAAGCCTACAAGTAACAAACAAAATGTGTAGATCACCTATGAAAAGTACAGTTACAATACCACTTGTTTTAGTGACTGTGAAATGATTTATTAAAAAACATTAATTTATTTTTTGTTATTTTTGCGACACATAATGATAGACGATCATCTTTTACCTGATGTTTTATGAACATTTTGTACTGCTCTTTACAGTAATCTTCCGAAAATCAGTGACTTCATATTTCAGATAGGCTATATGGTTTATATCTTGGTCACTCAAACTTACCTCATTTATGGGTCCGTGACACAAACTTAATCAGCTAGAAAGTAAGATCCAGTCATCTGTGTTTACACTCGATGGAAGGGAAACTCACCATGAGATGGAATCAAACGTAAATCTGACGACCTCTAGAAACTTTGGTCAGTCACCATGCCAAAGAAAACGTTTTTTAACAATGCGGAGTAAACTCGAGGAAACTGAGGCCCTCATGTCGCATGCATTACCAAACTTTATAGATTTACCCCATTTGGGATAATTTACCCCTATCCCCCGACCCCTTTTGTAAAACTTAAATACTTGAGTCTGAATATAGGTCTACTATATATTTTGCAACAGAGATGTGCATGTGCATAAAGATGTAATACAGTAATTTAATCACACGATACTGTTAAAAGAAAATATTATAGGTTTATAGATATTTAAAAGCTGTTACACGTTTATTTACATATTTGTCTTTTTAATTTTTTTCAGAGAAATTATTTTTAATGCTGTTCTGTAATTAACATATTATTTAATTCAGGTACAGTAAAAAATATTCAAAACATAAACAGTATAAATAAATATCAGTCCTAGACAGGAATTGTACTAATGTCCCTCTTGCTTGTCACACAAACAGTTCCTGTCACCTCAAAACAGGATCCCACCCTGTGAAAAGAATCATTGACAGAGTAGTGAACATTCATATATATAAGTGTACAGAAAGTGATAAATATCAAACAAATATTTTTCAGGAGACAAGGTAGAATTCCAAGGCCCGTGTGGAGGATTTGAATATGAGGAAAACCAGCTGGACGAGCTGACACTGTTAGCATCAGGAGGTGGCATCACCCCGGGTATGCAGCTCATCCGCCAAAGCATGAAAAATGTCAGTGATAAAACCAAGATAAAACTTATATATTTCTCTGAAAATCATGATGAGATCCTGTATCATGAAGAGCTCGACCAGTATGCAGGTAAATAAAGAATTCTAGATAAGAAAGACTGTTACAGGTTGAGAATCCCCTATCCGAAACCCTAAAAATCAAAAACCTCCAAAATCCGTACGTTTTTTTGGAGAGCCTGTCGTGGAAAATTAAAATAATTCCACAAGGCTTTTTTAGTTTCCGTGAAATGCGTGGGTCCTGGCGCACCGTGGAGGGTTACAAGTGTGACCTAATCTACCCTAACTGGGTCAGGGTGGCGAGTGTTAGCATCAGTTGTTGTTCTGCACTCATCACAGCTAGACGTCCGCTCATTATTCTGTGATTTTTGTGCCTTTTCTGTGGTTTGTCGCATTAATATACAGTTGTAATCCTTATGGGTAACATTGAACAAAAGCACAAAAGGTTGACCGTGGTGTATGTGTGAGGCGACTCTCGGAGGAGTTTGGAGTTGGAACGACCAACATTTATAACATGAAGGACAAAAAGACAGGTTGTTAAAGTTCTATGCTGAAAGTGATGAGCAGAAGCGCATGAAAATTAAGATCTTGATCGTGTTTTGAAAGAGTGGATTCGTCAGCGTCGGAGTGAGCATATGCCGCTTAAGGGTATGCTGATGAAACAAGCGTAGATTTATCATGCTGAACTTAAATTTGAAGGTAACTGTGAATATTCAGCAGGCTGGTTGCAGAAGTTGAAGAAGAGGCACGGCATTAAATATTTAAAGATTTGTGGTGATAAAGCTTCTGCTGATCATGAGGCAGCAGAGAACTTCATCGACGAGTTTGCCAAGATCATCGCTGATGGAGATCTAAAACCAAAACAAATCTATAATGCCGACGTGACAGCATTGTTCTGGCGTTATTGTTCCAGGCAATCACTAACTACAGCTGATGAGAAGGCTCCTGCATGAGTTAAGGATGTCAAGGACAGACTGACTGCTGGGATGTGTTAATCAGTGTTGCCAAATGTGGTTGGTGAAAATCGGCTAGAAATCCGCTAAGCCCAATATTATGCACGTATCCTAAACAATATGCAAATGTTAAGTAAATATACAAATGTTAAGTACTCACCACTTACAGTAGTTCAGCGAAAAAATTATGCCGTCCTCTTTTTCCTCTTCAGCCTCTATAAACATGGGTACTGAAGAATAGCTTGGATCACCTTCTGGTGCTTTTGATGTCGATGAACTGTATGCTACCATTGTACATATTTGCTTTACCACTTGTTTTGGCAGTTCATACGAATGGCAACATTTTCCAACTCTTCTGAGTCCACTTTTCACTGCAATAATAGCACAGACTGAACTTGTATTCAACCGATTTCTGATTTAACAATATTTATCTGGATAAAGAGTCTCTCGACTTCAGCATTAGAGTGAGGGAGGGAGAGTACACTACTAGCTAATTCACAGAGGTCACGAAAAGGATTTATTCCTGTAGCATCCTGGTAATCGTATACCTCAATCCAAAATTTTACTGTTGACGTGGACTCGTGCCATTTAACAATTGTTAAGTTGCACCACTGATTGTCAATTCGGTCAATTTGTTCTGGATGGTATCCAAAAAGTTCAGCTACCTCTACTATTGGTTCCTTCACAACTCTGAGACATTCCACGACTGAAAACAGAGACAATTTCTTCAAGATTTTGAAGTTATCAGGAAGTCTGTTTTTTAACTCATTATACAAGATATGCAGCGTTGGCAAAGATCACGCTTTGCTTTTTCTGATAGCTTTGAGTTGGTGAAAGTCTTTTCAAATTCGTATCCTAGATATGTCCTGGGGTCAACGTGAAAGGTAATTTCAGAGGTTAAAGGATCTAGTCATGCCGTAGGAATAATCACTCTCTTACTTGTTGCAAAGATGAGAGTTGAGAGGTCAGACAGAAGTTTAATGGGTTTAGTGTTTTCACCCTGAAATACATTTACAGTTCGCTGAACATTTTGCAGGACTGGGCGCAAAAACAGCGTGGACAATTTGTTAATGGGGACACTGTACATGTTGAATAACACTTCAGCACTGTAACACTTCTCTGGTGACCTCGCAATATCAAAGTGTATCCTAAGTTCCTCCCACTGGGGTAGGATGCGGGTCACTGCAGGTTCCAAGGAAATCCACCTCATTTTGCAGACTCTAGGAATCTGAAGTGGTTGTTTTCCATCGTTCAGTGTTTCAAACAGAGTTCTTGTACAATAACTGTCTTTCTGATGAGTGGCCAAACCAGTTCTAAGTTTCTTGCACCATGAAATCAATATTTCTTGGGAGTGTTTCCCCCACCGAATACGACACAGCTAATTGAATCGAATGACGCACACCGGACCATTATTAAATGCGGTAGCTCAAGATAATTCTTCAGTATTTCATAAACATCACCAGTATTGACACTCGCATTATCGACTCCAACTCCTAGTAATTCCTGTAAAGGGTTCTTGGTGGCATTTACTATAGATTGCGCTGATCCATCTTCTAGTTCAATAAGTCCAAGATACGTTAACACAATTTTCTTAAACTCCTTGCTGAAATTACGTACAATAACACCAAGCAACTTCACGAGAGCTATGTCAGTTGACTCTCAGTAAAGTGTGGTGCCAACACATTTACTCGAAAGGTTTAGCACTTGATTCTATGCAATTTCATATTCTTCACTGCATTACTGTCACTGAACGCGTTATTGCAAGCTTCCGACACATGATCCAGTTAAAAATGCAGTATGTTCAGCAATTACCATTGATAGCAGTCCCTCAGCATCACTTATGGCTTGTTGTTGAGTGTCACTAAATTTAGAGAACGGTCGCTTTGTTTGCCTTCCACTAGAAACTTGATCTGATGATTTGACATGTTTTACTGAAACTGAATGCCTTCTCAGATCACAAAGTTTTGCATTAATCTCGCATTTACAGAACAAGCAATATGCCTTAGTTTTATCTTTTTCTACAGTCTTAAGTCAGTCCTTTAACTCTGGAAAATTCTCCCAGCTTTTCCTGTATGCTTGAGCGTAAGTTGGCTCCATGTTGGTTAATTAAAGCACTTCCACATAGAGTGACGTCTGGGAGGCTACTGGCTGGGCCACTGGACGTGGGCGGCGGGTCCCAAGGCAGACAGGTACTGTATCTGTACGAAGTTCGAACGTGTAATGGACAGCAGGGGGACGGGGTTGGGTTGCTGCTTACTCTATTCTATTTACTTTAAATTTCCTTTTTTTTCTCATTTCAGAGGGAGGACAGAATAGGTTTTAATTACTAATAATTATCATGGACACGAAATCCGCTAGAATTTCTCCCAAATCCAGTGAAAATGACCAGAAAATCCGCTATCCACAAAAGGGTTAAGTCATCCGCATTTTGAAAGGACAATCCGCTCGATTTAGTGGATTTTCCGCCAAGTTGGCAACACTGGCTAATGCTGCAGACACGTACAAGTGTAAACTTGCTGTGATAGGCAAGAGCAAATGTCCCCACTGTTTTAAAGGCGTGACTAATTTACCACTCCATTATTATGCCAACAAGAAAGCGTGGATCACCAGAGATCTCTTTTCTGACTGGTTTAATAAACATTTTGTACCAGCCACCCGTGAGTACTTCCGGGAAGCTGGACTGGAAGACAACTGCAAGATTTTGTTATTCCTAGACAATTGTTCTGCACATCCCCCAGTTAAACTTCTTGTCAAGAATAATGTTTATGGCATTTACTTCCCCTAAATGTTACTTCATTAATTCAGCCATGCGACCAACTTACCAAGGGATCCTTAGAGCACTGAAGAGCAAATATAAAGGCAGTTTCCTGAACAGCATGTTGGCAGCAGTGAACAGAGGCGTGGGTGTGGAGGGTTTCCAAAAGCAGTTTACAGTGAAGGATGTCATCTACGCCGCTGCTCGTGTTTGGAATGCCATAGGTAAGGACACCCTTGCGAATGCCTGGCACAACCTCTGGCCGTCGACTATGTTCGATGACGATGAACAAAATGATGACTTTCAAGGATTCTGTGTGACAAGTGAGAAACAAATTATATCAAACCTTACATATGCAAAAGGTATATCCTTGGATGCTGTCAAGAAGCTGGAGGAAGCTGACATAGAAGTAGTTCTCAACATTAATAATGATACTCTAGTTGTCAGTCAGCAAAAAAATATTCTACACCCCTTGGTCTGATGGCCTCTGCAACGATCACTGACTGAGGCCATTTTAATTTGTTAAGGTTGGTATTTCTGGTTTTGTGATGCATTGTATAACCAGTATGATGTATTTTTTATATCACATATAGTTAATACGGAGAAATTAACATGAATTACCCACGTAAATGAGTGTTTTCAGAATTCTTGGTCCGGTGTGTCATATTTTATAACACCCTAAAGGTGCATAAATTTTTTTGCTGACTGTACATTCATTGACTGATAGTGAAATCGCTGAAATAGTTCTGAATCAAGGTGATTGTGATGCTAACAATGAAGGTGAAGATGACATAGATAACACAGTGGTAAAAGTGCTCATAGATGACATGGTGAAAATGTGTGATGGGCTTATTAATGGACTAGAGCAGCGTGCATTCATATCTGAACAAGAAATCATGTCAGTTTATAAGATCAAAGAGAGATTGCTATGACAAAAACCACTGTTAGTGAGGCAGATGACGCTCGAAGAAACATTTAAGAAAGTCATCCTGCAGAGTGCATCCTCGTCCCTAGAGCATTAATGAATGAAGGTAAGACACAGACTGCACTATGGTAAATTTCAGGGTAGTGGTAGCTTACCTTTCCGATGGTTCAATGTGCATTTTTTTTTATTGTTACATGCACAAAATTATTAAAAAATATTACATTAAACTACCTGCAGGCTATATGTATCCATATTCGGTAAATGAGATATAACTGTACACGAATTTCATGTTTAGACTCGAGCACAGTCCCCTCTGGGTGAGATACCTGAATCTTATTATACAGGTGTACAGTATACAGGTTATATCCCAAAATCTGAAAAAATCCGGAATCCAAGACACATTAGGCCCCAAGGATTTCGGATTAGGGATCTCAACCTGTAATTTTACTTTAATTTTTCAGTAGTTGAAATGAGGGTCATCACACAGTACTTATAAATAGATCAAATATGTTTAGAGATAACTTTTTTTTTTAAATTAGTCTGTTTCCATTTTATTTCCTTCTTTAACTTCAATAGTCAGAAGATTTATTTAAGTTTCTGAGTTTCTTGTAGGGTTTATAACAGACATCTTTCTTGCATGATACGAGTCATGTTCCATGCAACAACATATTATTTACACAACTTATAGCTACATCATAGGACAAGTGATGTCACTATAAATAGTTGGAAGTTGAGACAAACTCTTTCAGTGGCATATCAAATAATAGCCCACATCGATATTTCTCCATTAATCAGAATCTCACTTTCTATACTTGGTCTATGAAGGTTCATCATATGTATGGGTGCAATCCAAGAGTAATGTTTTTCTATAGACTGTACTGTACTTCCATCAGTTCATTATGGGTGTGGTAAAATATCCTGTATCCCAACAGCCAAAGATGATCGATTGAAGATCGTATACTCCTTGGGTGAAGCACCTGCAAACTGGGAGGGTGAAGAGGGCTTCATAGACACCCAAATGATTGACAAACATGTTTCCAAACCCAATGGTTTGAAGCACAAGGTAACTAATATAACAAAATATGATACAAGTTTTTTAACCATTAAATTATAAAAAAATTCAGCAACTTTTAGAATATATTTCACACCATCAGTTTACAAAACAATTACAGGCACTTTATCTTGGACTTGGATCTAGTGAAGGGTATGTCATATACTGTGCAATATTTTTAGTTCGATTTTGTTGCACATCCAAGGCCTCGTCAACGTGAGGCTACTGTATTGCAAAGTAAGTATCATTTTAATTTAAAAATACAGTATTTTCATAAATAGAAGATTAGTTTATATTTAGTCTATATTTAGGTTAGAGGACTCCCTTTCATTCCTGAATTTGCTTTAATTTACTTTTGTCCTGAAATGGTTGATATCAGGACAAGAAATATTTACATTATGTTATACTAATTAAATAAACACTCGAAATGGGTGATTATCTTAAGTGGCAGTGTCAAACTAAGTACAAAGTTAGGATATCCTACAATATAAATTGATACTCAAGGTTTGCTGATGTGGATGGAGGTCAGGAATTAATGGTGGAGCTTAGTTAGGAAGCCCCTCCCTGATCACAGTCTTTACTGGAGGTGGTGAGTGTTGTGTTTCTCTGGTCACGATCGTTAAGGAAGTAACGATGGCAGGTATTTTGATTTTTTACATTCTACAGTAGCTGGTAGGATGCACGCTCAGACAAAGGAATGTAGACTCGCGAGAGACTATTATTTAAAGAAGGAGTAACTATTTACAATTCAGGTAACTATTAAATATTACTTTAACTAAATAGAACCTAAATTAAATGCAACATATATATAACTCCCTAACTAAATTTCTTACATTATTTCTATCATTCTGCTATTCAACATATTACAGTAGATTAGCAGTTACGATAACTTTCATTGTCCTTGCCACTAATTTGCTAATTAGCCGCTTGAGTAGTCAGTCACATGTTTTACACACTGTTGACAAGTATTGGCCATGTACTGGCTCCAGAATGTATCTGTACCTCCGCCAGTGATGGTCACGTCTGGTCTTGAATGAGCTCACACTCGGTGCTGTCACAACGCTCTGGTAGATTTTTCTAAGAGTTTATAATTCACACTTAGAAAAGGAGGGCCCTGACAATATTCCAAACCTGTGGCTTCATCAGGCATCCACTTGGGTCTCACATGTCATTCAAGGGGTTAATGGACCATAAATGGAGAGTTAATGTAATGAAATCCCTTCTTATGACTATGGAGATGAATGAGGTCTTGGATTCCTCCTCCTCCCTAGATTAAAGTTCTAATTCAGGAAGGAGAGTTGGGTTGAAGCATGATTTCACAATGCTGTTTGGTGGGTTTTGAAACAAATGCGTTCTAGACTCCGAAGACTTACAGTATGATTACTTGAATTCCTCAATAATGAATATGGATCTTAATACTAATTAATGTATTTGTTTATCCTTTTTGCCACTCTTTATCTTAGCAGATGGTCAGACAGTTGGTCCATTCTATGTTTTGTTTTGCTGACAAGTACTGGACATGTACAAGATGTTGAATGCATTTGAACGTGTGCCAATTTTGGTAATATTTGGTCTTAAAAGAGCTTAAATTTGGTGTTTTCACAATTATCTCTTGCAGGTTACCAGTTTTGAGGTGATAAGGTGGCATTGTATCATTGCTTACAACAAATGATTGTCATAAAACAATGCACACTTTATGGGCATTGACAAGCTCTGACCAAGGGCACTTGGTGGTGGGTCATCTTCCATAGGTCACTTGTTCATCTATTCTGACATAAGAATGATTTTTAAACTTCACCCCTCTATTGCTGCTGAATCAATAATGAGTTTTTAATTATTTAAAATAAATTGATCCAGCTTTTGATATGTATTCTAAATTTAAGAAACTAAATAAAGACAGTACAGTATACTGTATTAATTTAGCTCAGTATTTATTAAAAATAGAACGGCTTCTCAGTAGAGTAATATTTGTAATGGGTTCATTTCTGACTAATTGAGCTAATGTTTATTTAGTAAAACATTGGTAAGTACTAACAATGTGTTAGAAATTTGGTGCTCAAAGATTGAAAGATAGTTAAACTATGAGTGAATGATTGCACCAGCTGTCAGTGGTTCTCAACCTTGTTTGCCCATGCACCCCTTTCACCATATGTCAGAATGTCATTCCCCCCTCCTTTCCAAGATTGTCTGCCTCAAAAAGTGCATTCCAAATAATATGCATATAATACTGAAAATCCTTTATTTTTTCCATATTAGTATCAGTTTCCCCCCCCCTGAAAACCTGAGGGGGGAAATTCCCCCCTGGTTGAGAACCCCTGTGCTAGGTAGTATTAGATCAACACTTGGATAACAGAATCCGTTAATGGCAGCCATCATCTATGGAAGTTTCATGTTCCTTGCTTTCAATTTGCTGCGCATATCGGGTGAAGAGGGAACTGGTGAATCCTTAGCTGTCAATTAATGGTAAAGAGGGTTAATTTAAGCATTTATGAGTTAACATTTCATATTGTATGTAGACAACTTCACGAGTTCTTCTCTTACCAAATGACAATTCGACAAATGTGTTCCACAGATTGTGATGTGTGGCGGCCCAACTATGAGCATATCGTGCCTTTATTCCCTACGGTCGCTTGGCTTCCCCTCTTCGAACATCTTCATATATGGACAGTTTGGTACAGAGCAAGTGAAAACAGTGTATGGCAGAAATGTAAAACTTGCCAGTCATCGTTGTGACAATGCTGTCTAATACATTGTGTATATTCTGTTATTTTAAGGAGAGGTTAATGTGCTAAGCATTGTATGAAAGCTATTTGGGAGTAAAGACAAAATTGTGAGCAGGTTCCATCCAAAAGTTATTATAGTACCATACTTGTTTTTTCTCACCTATTTAATTGATTACCAGGTACTGGATGCAGGCATCAGGCTTATGTATTATGGCTGCATCACAACAATATTTTATAGAAAGGTTTGGGTTAAGATACGTCTAAAATTCTTCAGCAAACTCTTGGTGTCGGTTTTTAGAATGCTTAGCATATCCATCATCTTCACTGCCAACATCAGTATCCTTGCAACCAGGAAAGTACTTAACAGTTTCCATCTCTGTGAACCGTCCTGCAGACTCTGGTGCAACTTTATCAGAATTTTTGATGAATTGCAAGTACTTTGATAACACTTATACAGGTAGTAAATTTAATCATAGTGATGTCATTTAGTCTTTAAGATAGCTGTAAAACCTCACAGAATTTACCTTAAATCAACTCAAGTTGTTAGTTACACTTCTTTTTATGCATTTGGATTATTGCACACTGATTTGAGGCTATATATAACAGTAAAAAATAAATAAAAAATACAGAAAAACAAGCCAACCTGTCTCGGACGGCAACACTGGACGAACGAGGGTGCCAGGAGGCGTATCATATGTCCCAACGGGATGAAGAAACTGCACTATTTGAGACCGAATGTGAGAAGGACCTAGGTGTGTATGTTGACAATGAGCTGAAGTTCTCGGGCCATTGCGAGAAGAAGGTAAATCAGGCAAATAAATTATTGGGTCTTATAAGAAGGTCGTTCATATATCTAGACGGTCCGTCCCTCGTAACGATCTTCAGGAGTGAAGTGCTTCCCATCTGAAGTACTGTCACCCCGTCTGGTCCCCGAGATATGCTAGGGACTGTCAGTTAGTTGAAAATGTTCAAAGGAGGGCCACCAGACTGGTGCCTGCACTTCGGCACTTCAGCTACCCTGAGAGATTGGAGCGCCTGAACTTTCCTAGCTTATACTACAGACGGGCAAGGGGGGAGCTAGTTGAGGTATATAAGCATCTCAGGGGGCACTACTCAGTCGAGTGTCCTTACATGGAGCTGGCGGATGCTCGCCCCTCAAGGGGACACAGCTCAAGATTGAAGAAGCCGCAAGTCCAGAAAAGTGTGAGGGCAAATTTTTTCGGAGTGAAAGTTGTAAACTCTTGGAACAATCTACCAGAAAGTGTTGTGACGGCACCGAGTGCGAGCTCTTTCAAGACAAGACTTGACCAACACTGGAGCGGGTACAGGTATATTCAGGAGCCGGTGCATGCCCAGTATTTGCCAACAGTGCGTAACAGAGACGTGACCGATCGCCCGGACGGCTAGCGATCCGATCAGTGGTGAAGAGGATAAAAGTAAAGTAAAAGTATCAGGCCCTGCCTTGGCTGAGACGTGTTGCTGCGTCAGGGGTTTTATACAAACAAGTCCTTCCCTACTGCCACACAACACCATTACTATTTCTTGTGTAGGTAACATCACTAACTAAATACGCTATATACGGGCAGGCACGCCCACTAAACATGACATGACTTACTCCACTGAACATAATATTTGTTGAAGGGGTATCCTATTCATTACTGCTTGTGGTAATATTATCTTAATATGGAAAAAACCTTTTACTAAATATCAGTTGGTGGCTAGGTTAACCTCCTCACTATAAAGTACATATTATAAGAACACGATAAAGTTAAAATAGAACCAAAGGCAAGGGACAAATCTTTCAAAGCTTAAAATGACGAGAATAGATTACCAGATAGAGACGAGCTCGTACCTGTATGAATTCCTTACTAAATATTTTAACAACTTCTCTCAAATTCAGTCCTGTACCTCTGTCAGCACCGAACTCTTCAAATTAATGAGTGGCCTTGTTATATTGACTGTGATACTGTGGTGTTAAGCTTTCATGGACATCAAAACAATAATTTATACTGTACAGTATCCCGATTGCCAAAGAAGGTGGCGACCTTCAGTTGAAAGTACAAGCTGCGGTGCGACGGAGTCACTTTTCTCGTACTCGATGGTAATTATATTTATCACCCCACCAGACGGAAGTGACAGGTACATTTTGGTAGTACCAAGGGCTGTTGGGTGGGTCCTGTAGTAAGGTCTTCCGCATGCACAGCTCCTGAGGTTCACTGCATGTCCTTGTCTCAGACTGGTTCCTGTACCACCATCGGCGCCACGATTATTTGTTGTCATGGTGGTAAGGCTCTTGTTGATCATTATAACACCACCTTGTTACTCAAGTAATTGTACAGGAGCGAGGACCTTACTGAAACTTGTTGAGGTTGACACCACCACCGTTGTCATGCTGTTGGTGACGTCTTCGCTGAGTCTCACGCACAGTTACACCTGACTAATCATGTCTTAAAGGACGTCCCGAGCCTCTCATTATAAAGTAACATAATCTACCAAAAACGATGATATAAAACTTATTATCTTCTAAGATGCAATAATCGGGCCAATGTTGACAACCACAATATTCTGCTGTATCAAAAAATACTAAGATAAAAACATCAGCTAAATAAGTTATTCACAGATGGTCTCCACCTCTAAAGGTAAACGAATAACCTTGATCAATTATTTGAGATTGAAAGGCAAATTAAATGAATAATTGCCACCCAAATTGTTCAAGGAACAGGAGTGGCGAGACTTCTTTCGAGAAGATTAGGCAAATGTCTGGGATCACTTCTCAAAAAGTGAATTTGAAATATCTACTGATTGAGTTACCTGTAAAATAAGCAACTACCAACAAGAGATCCTCCTGGCAGGCTAATATTGTCAGCTGGCAGAATCCCATGCCAGTGAGGCTGGAGCACTTACTGATCCACTACCTGAAGACAGGAACGGCTGAACTACTGTACTGCGGAAACTTGTGTGTTTCTCCGTAAATCAGAGACAGAAAAACTTAATTGTGTTGTGAATAAGATAGTCTTAATCATATTCGTTTTTTAAAGGAAGAATACAAAATGCAAGTTATTACCAATCAACAAACAACGGAGAATCAACCATGCATTAAATCACAATGAATAACAATCAGGGCGACTAATTGCTGCAAATAAGTTTTCTAGATTGAGAACATGGAAAGTAGAACTATGTCCTATACAGGGGGAATTTATAGCTATGTGGATATTGTGGACTCCAATTGTGTTTATGCGCGCAGTTATGCAAACGCTTTAGGTGGGGAGGATCGGGGGAGTTGCGTAAGCGTACTGGCGGTGAGTGCTTCACAACATAACTACAAAGACGTTAAATTATAGTTCTGTCTAGTATGAAGCCTCTGAAGCCAAAAACCACATTATGCTACTCCGCAATGAGACCATTACAATGTGTATAGGTAATTGTCATCAGCGAGTCGATGTGATGGGAGGCAATTCTTGCTAGACATGTCACTGTTCATTCTGGCAGGCTTTCCATCACATCCCCGGGAGGAAGCAACACCACCTATTGATTGGCTTCTGCGGTGGTTTACCCTCAACCTTCCCCAAGCCACAAGGTGGTCGGTGGTCGTCGTCCACACGCACATCTAGCTGACAATATTTTAAACAGTTTTATTCTTCGTTGTGTTTTGTGAATTTTTGGCTACAGTGTACAGAATGTGAATAAAAAAAAGTGTGGTTATTGCGTGCGTGTGTGTGTGTGTGTGAGTGTGATATACAGAGGGAGTGTCCATGTGTGTGTGTGCGCGGTAGATCAGGTAAACAAATGATAACCAAATCTTACGCAACTTATTGCCTTCATGAAGAAATCTTAATGAGGTTGTTTTCCTGACGTGATAATTAAATAATTTCCTTCATTAACCTTGGGTCGTTGGGATAGGCCTGGCCAGAACTTGTCTCATCTTCCGGTAGGATAAGGATGTGTCCCTTCCGAAGTTCCCGGGGGGTGGTGCTTGAGACCAAGGTATGAAGATACGGTAGATACCTTGCTTAAGACCTTGTGTTGGGTGCTGGACTGTGGTCCTTCGCCTTAAGGTTCGAAACCAGTCGTTCTAGTGGCTGCTTAGTAATGTTGCTACTCATTGTCATTTCTAATATACAAAAGACGAGACTTCTCAAGATGAGCACTCTCCAGTTTGTTTCACCTTAAGATAACCACCCAAACACCAACATTACCTATCCTCATCTAACATCACCTTCTCTCGCCTAACTTATCCTAATCTAACTTAACCTAACCTAACCCCCCAGGTAGTGTTAGGGTGTTTAATCATCAGGTGACATAAGCTGGGGCAAATCTTCACGTGGACCTAAAAGTCCTGCGTGAAAAAACCCATTATAGAATAGAACAGAAAGTAACTCAAGCAGACATAAAGGAACAGATAAATTAAGCTTAAAAAGACAATTAAAACCTGTTTACTTTGTTCTTAAAAGACTCATAAGCCACCCTTAAATACGATGCTGGTCAGATTTCCAAATATTAAATGTGGAGATGGAGAATAAGAAACATCGAAAGAATTGTGTAATATCTGCTTGCCTGGAGATCGGAGATCATGAACGTTATATATATATATATATATATATATATATAATCAACACCTCAATCCGCCAGGATTCGAACCCACGGCCCCCTAGCCCATGACTGTGACCGGGGAACGCTAACCGCTGGACCACCAGGATACTAGTTCCTGGTGGTCCAGCGGTTAGTGTTCACGGTCACAGTCATGGGCTAGTGGGCCGTGGGTTCGAATCCTGGCGGGTTGAGGTGTTGCTTGTATGTAGAAGTCCGCGTGCTATTGGGCTAATGAAATATATATATATATATATATATATATATATATATATATATATATATATATATATATATATATATATATATATATATATATATATATATATATACGTGTGTGTGGTTAATAATTATAATAACAATAATAATAAATAATTAACGGTTTATTGTAAAAGTTCTGCAGCCAAAAGGCTGAAAATATACACTGGACAAAAATTACCAATTACACACTTAGCTCCCTGGGATTAATTGTCACATGGCTAGTGCTACTTGTGAACAGGGCTGTGCCCTTCTGAGAGCCGAGCTACTGGCCGAGTTAGTGAAGGTCAAAGAAGAA